TGATCAGTAGAGCGTAGCGTACGTGAACATGTACGATAACTAAGTGATTCCGTGATATATAATGGTGCCATACCATTTAGCGCCTTATAAACTAACAATAAAACTTTAAAAAGAATCCGAAAGTGAACAGGTAACCAATGCAGTTGAATCAATACAGGGGTGATATGATCAAATTTCTTGGTTAAGGTAACGATACGAGCAGCCGTGTTTTGCACAGACTGCAAACTACCTATCATATGCTTAGGGAGGCCATACAATAAAGAGTTACAATAGTCTAGTTTAGAAGTAACAAACGCATGAACAAGAATTTCCGTAGTTTCCTCAGTGAGGTACTTCCTAATTTTAGAAATGTTCCTTAAGTGGTAGTACGACGTTTTGCAGATCTTATTTACATGTTCCACCATATTACAGCATTCATCAAATATGACACCGAGATTCCTAGCTGAAGATTTGGGGAGTATTTGTTCATCACCAACTGACACATATGAAATGGCAAGACGTTTCCCTCTTTTTACGACAATTAAGTACCTTTTGTTACGCACATATGCATCATTTTGTTATCGATGATCTTTTCTACCCAAATTTGGTCTTAGCAATCGAAATATGTCGCAAAAATGAAAAAAAGAAACAACTGAGGAATTACTGGGTAATTCAGACAGGAAATGGTCTAAATTTGCTTTTAAAAATGACGTCCGAGGGGGTCGAATAAAGTGATGCTCGTACTCGTATCTAATACAAGAGCAGTGAAGAACCTATGTTTATTATATTTGTCCATTACTCCACCTAATCTATCTATGATGTTAGTATGAACTTATTCTGTTGACCCCCTTCCGTTGACATTTTAACAGTTTGCCCGGTTTTCTCTCAGTGACAACCACTCTTAAGAGGAAAAGCCCTAGCTAGCAACCGACCATCGCGCTCACGAGCTCAAAATAAAACAGAAAAATAATAGCTCAAAATAAAACAGAAAAGAGTGACCATTTAGTTGCACCTTAAAAGAGCCAAATTTTTATGTTCTATTTTCAGCTCATGAGCGCTCAATGCAGATAAAACGGTTTTCTGAACAAAAAGATAAATACAACAAAGTTCTAAAAATGAGCGCTACAATTCCAGCTACTTGCAAAAACTCCTGTGTTATTATTGGTTATTTTGATAGATGTCCTGAATGGAATTAGAGGATCGAGCATTAAACTCGGGTTTGTCAAAATGATGAGCTTAGCTAGAATTATCTAATTAAAGATTTATAGACATAAATAATTGATTATTTGGTTTGTCTTCGTATACAATTAGCGGCAACCATTTATAATGGGTGATTTTGTCGTTAGTCAAATAACCATCCGTGGGCCGTTAATTACATGTGTGGTTTCTGTCAATTAGGTGACGTTCAATTATGCAAATGTTGTCACGTGACTCTACACGGCCAGAAAACAATAAAAAGTCTTTAAACAAAAATGGCAACACTTTTTGTTGTGAGTTATTAAACCGGACTGGTTTGGGACAATGTGTAATGCAAGCATCTACAGGACTGTGCTTGGCCTTTTTTGAATTTTTTACTGTTTTAGAAAATAAACGGCTTTTTCAACTAGACCCAGTCCCCCAAAGCAATTGTATCCAATCTTAACTTCTTCGATTTTAAATATCTAAAAACGGCCAAGCACAGAAGTCATACATTAAACGGCATTAACATTATGCAACCGGTAAAACTATTGAAGACACAAGAAAAAGTGTTGCCGTTTGAAGAACAAGCTTTTTCAGCCGATGAAGGTCACGTGACCTAATTTGCATAATTTTAACGCACAAAATTGAAACAAACTAAAAATGTGTTTAGCTGGCAAAGTTTTATGTCTCTTCATCTAAAGCTCTTAGATATAGACCACCCCCTCACTTTTGAAAAGAGCAAATTAAGGCAAATTGAGGCCCATGCCTTAATTTACCTGAGAACTGCAGGTGACCAAAGTGTTGAGGGAGCCAATCCAGTTTCGATGATAAACATACTTTGCTATATGAGCTTAATACTCTACAACTAATGTATTCAACTAAATGTCAACATTTTACATTGGGCTCGTTATACCAAATTGTCACTTTCACAACACTGTTTATTAAGTCTTACTCTCTGTTGAACTCATCGACGTCTTTAGGGAAAAAAGGTTCCAGATACTGAATACCGCACCACGACTCCCAGAAACAGGTGAGGATTCGTTTTGTCCCTATCGATTTCTCAATCTTTTTTGAAGCCGTTCGTAAGGATATTTCGTTGTAGTTTTCCCCTGTGTGTTTATAGCATCTCTCAGCAAGCCTAGTTTCTTTTTGCTTAAAAGCTATAATTGAAGAAAACTCTGAAAGAAAGAAAAGAGAACTACTTTAAAGAGTTAAGCAGGCTATCCATGTCAAGGATTCACAAGACTAATCGAACTGTAAATACAATCAGATCTAAGTTTTTTTAAATTTCTTTCTGCAGTTCATTTTCCACTATAAGGAACATTATTAGCCTCCCTCTCCTCGTTAAATCTTCTTTTCTCACAAACGACGTTCGTGAGAGAGGAAGTCGTGACGAAAGCGCTAGCTAAGAACGTGAGCGGAAAGCTTGAAACGTTACCAGTTTAATAATTCTACTGTCATCCTCTATCGTAAGCCCTTATGATCCCGTTTTTTTTCCGCGCTCAGTCGTCTGCGTAGTCGTACGTTGAATTACAAAACAAAACGCACCTCTGTGAATGTCCTGATGAACTACTTTTTCTCGCGGATAAGCCTCTTGTCTTATGAGGTGCTTATTAACTCCAGAAAAGAGTGACCATTTAGTTGCACCTTAAAAGAGCCACATTTTTGTGTTTTATTTTCAGCTCATGAGCGCTCAATGCAGATAAAACGGTTTTCTGAACAAAAAGATAAATATAACAAAGTTCTAAAAATGAGCGCTACAATTCCAGCTACTGGCAAAAACTCCTGTGTTATTATTGGTTATTTTGATAGATGTCCTGAATGGAATTAGAGGATCGAGCATTAAACTCGGGTTTGTCAAAATGATGAGCTTAGCTAGAACTATCTAATTAAAGATTTATAGACATAAATAATTGATTATTTGGTTTGTCTTCGTATACAATTAGCGGCAACCATTTATAATGGGTGATTTTGTCGTTAGTCAAATAACCATCCGTGGGCCGTTAATTAAATGTGCCATTTGACAGTATCGGTAGCAAAGTTTATAAACCCGATGAGCCAATTTAATGCAGGGGCATTGTTTACTAATAAGGAATTCGGCGCGTGACCGGCAAAACCCTGCACGCTATAGCTAACCGCTTCGTGGCTGATTGAACTCGTAAAACTCATCTGCAATGAAACTGTATGGTTATTAATCTCATGTCAAGGTCATGTTTAACCGGCGATGGTCGGTTGCTAGCTAGGGCTTTTCCTCTTAAGAGTGTTTGTCACTGAGAGAAAATCGGGCAAAATGTCAAAATGTCAACTGAAGGGGGTCAACAGAATAAGTTCATACTAACATCATAGATAGATTAGGTGGACTAATGGACAAATATAATAAACATGGGTTCTTCACTGCTCTTGTATTAGAGATACGAGCATCACTTTATCCCCTTCAGACGCCATTGTTAACTATCCGGTTTAAGCCTTTGTTCTAATCAGACATGCAAATGTTGTGGCAACTGCAGAGCCCCGCGGACCATATATTATAAGAGACTCATGCAATGGCGTAATAATGGTTGATAGGCGCGGAAGCTTTGTGGATATATAATTCTTTATAATGATAAGTAGACTTTCCATTCACTTTCTTCGCGAAGTTTCATGTTATCAATGTGTTATAAAATCCCATTTGCCTTCAATAGGCATTTAAAAGTCTAAAAAACGTAAAATGTTTCCGCTCCATAATGGGCACCATGCGTATTTTACGTCAAATTAGGCCTGAACTTCCATTAGTCAGCACAATGCAATTATCTGTACTGATATACATGATCATACATGTATACTAGCTTTGTCATTTGGTATTGGAACATAATTTAGAGCATTTTATGCGTCACTATTTTCTTCATTAACTCTGTGGGGTTTTTATAGATGATAAAAAAGAATAAAAGTGCAAAAGCCAGTAAGTCCTTCAACGAAACAGACGATTCGGTAAAGTTGAGTTGTCCACAATAATTAACAAAATAAGGCTTTGTTGATTTAGAGTTAATTACGCAGTGCTAAAAAACTAAAATTCTATAGGAAACGCCAGCAACATTTTTGTGAGGAACCCAACGTATTTTAGAAAGAGTTATTAATTAAAAGTAATTCACAAATTGTGAGAGTTGTTCGAACGAGCTATAATTGCTGTTTTAGCACTGAACGAAAAAATGTATTTGCACAAATAAAATTTGCTCAGAGCAAATATGTTGCAAAAATGTGAACACTGAGGAGTAAATTTAGAGCAAAACTGGTAAATGCCACATTTGTATATTATATAGTACTTAAAAACACGGGATGAAAATAAGTTGGCAAATGTGGCATTTTCTAGGTTTGCCCTAGATAACTCCTCAGGTTTTCATTTTTGCAACATATTTCGATTGCTAAGAGCAAATTTGGGCAGATAAGATCATCGATAACAAAACGATGCATATGTGCGTAACAAAAGAAACTTAATTGTCATAAAAAGAGGGAAACGTCTTGCATAAGTTCGCGACTTTAACTCTCAATCCGTGTGCTTCCGCAAATGTTTTTATAAAATTTAAATATCACTAGAGAAATGTAATTTGCATTCAACAATCAGTCTCTTCTGAAGAAATAAAGAAAATGAAAACGGATATTACATTAAAAGGTTTTGCAACTTGAGGTCCTTTTTGCAAACCTGCCATCGAATCTCAAAGTAACTGATGATGGCCTCAGCTGTTTTTTTCTATACATAATCCTTAAAAAAACAACTATTTTAGCAATGAGCTTGTTATCCTACTTATCTTAAAAATAGGATTTTCCCCTGTAACAGAACAAAGAAACATGGTCTATTCTGTCTCTGTTAAAAGGCGAAGATTTTCTTAAATTTAGGATATGTAAGAGGATATCGCTATTGATCACATAGCACCAAGCATCCTTTGAAAATTTCATTACACTCTACCATTAATTTTCGGCGTGCAGTCGTTTGTTGATGCAAGTAGGAAAGTTGTTTTAAAAAAAAAAAAAAAAAAATAGAAAATACAACAACAACAACAAACAACACACTAGCTAGGTTGCCTTCTGCTGAGTTAATTGACTAGTTGACTAGGAGCAAACTGCCAGTGGCCAAAGTGTTGAGGGAGCCAATTTTCGATGATAAATATACTTTGCTATATGAGCTTGATACTTTACAACTAATGTATTCAACTAAATGTCAACATTTTACATTGGGCTCGTTATACCAATTGTCACTTTCGCAACATGGTTTATTAAGTCTTACTCTCCGTTGAACTCATCGACTTCTTTGGGGAAAAGGGTTCCTAGACACTGAATACCGCACCACGACTCCCAGAAACAGGTGAGGATTCGTTTTGTCCCCGTCGATTTTTCAATCTTTTTTTAAGCTGTTCGTAAGGATATTTCGTTGTAGTTTTCCCCTGTGTGTTTATAGCATCTCTCAGCAAGCCAAGTTTCTTTTTGCTTAAAAGCTATAAATAAAGAAGACTCTGAAAGAAAGAAAAGGCAACTACTTTAAAGAGTTAAGCAGGCTATCCATGTCAAGGATTCACGAGACTAATCGAATTGAATATGCATTCAGATCTAAGTTTTTTTTTAATTTCTTTCTGCAGTTCATTTTCCACTATAAGGAACATTATTAGCCTCCCTCTCCTCGTTAAATCTTCTTTTCTCACAAACGACGTTCGTGAGAGAGGAAGTCGTGACGAAAGGGCTTAAGCTAAGAACGTGAGCGGAAGGCTTAGAACGTTACCAGTTTAATAATTAATTCTACTGTCATCCTCTATCGTAAGCCCTTATGATCCCGTTTTTTTTTTTTTACGAGCTCAGTCATCTGCGTAGTCTTACGTTGAATTAAAAAACAAAACGCGCCTCTGTGAACGTCCTGATGAACTACTTTTTCTCGCGGATAAGCCTCTTGACTTATAAAGTTCTTATTACTTCCAGAAAAGAGTGACAATTTAGTTGCACCTTAAAAGAGCCACCGTTTTCCGAGCAAAAAGATAATACAACAAAGTTCTAAAAATGAGCGCTACAATTCCAGCTACTGAAAAACTCCTGTGTTATTATTGGTTATTTTGATAGATGTCCTGAATGGAATTAGAGGATCGAGCATTAAACTCGGGTTTGTCAAAATGATGAGCTCAGCTAGAACTATCTAATTAAAGATTTATAGACATAAATAATTGATTATTTGGTTTGTCTTCGTGTGCTATTAGCGGCAACCATTTATAATGGGTGATTTTGTCGTTAGTCAAATAACCATCCGTGTGCTGTTTAATAATGAAATGTGCCATTTGACAGTATCGGTAGCAAAGTTTAGAAACCCGATGAGCGACTTCAAAATCGAATTTAATGCAGGGGCATTGTTTACTAAGGAATTCGGCGCGTGACCGGCAAAACCCTGCACGCTATAGCTAACTTCGTGGCTGATTGAACTCATAAAACTCATCTGCAATGAAACTGTATGGTTATTAATCTCATGTCAAGGTGATGTTAAATCGGCGATGGTCGGTTGCTAGGGGTTTTCCTCTTAAATTCAAATTTTGGCTCACAGAGGAGAAGTTTGTTTTCCAATTGAAGTAAGACATTAGACCATCTTAATTAGAGAAAATTTTTCTTCAAATTTTTACCATTGTAAAGGTCATTTTGACGTTTCTTGAAAGTATGCCGTCTATTATTTATAGTAACAACATTGAAAATGTAACCTCATAATGACGTTATTTGTGACGAAATACGCGTCATAGCACCAGATAAATTAAAAAAAAAAAAACTACAATTTTGATTTTATGCAACTTTGTCTTTTCTCTGTTGCGACTACATTCATTGTTTTCGCGTTTAAATATCCCTAAAGTTTTGACCATATATGGTCATTTGGAGGAAAATTTGAATTTTTTAAATTAGCTGCAACTTTACGCCTTTTTGTCTGATTAATTGAGATAAGGTTTTCACCAGAAATCATAGAATTCTATACAGGAAACTAATATAAAGTCTTTACTATTTCTTTTCTGAATTTTTATTCTGATGTCAAATTTGGACGTCATTAATGACGTCACAATAGCAGTCACATGGGATGAAATAAAAACCAATTTACCTGTAATTTTAATATCAACCTACTTTCCTGCCAAGTTTTGTCACATTCGATCATTCTACTTATATCTATGGCCTAAAACTCTCAGTTTTGAGAGGTGCAGGAGGAAAAGCCCACGCAACCGATCCGGTACCGTGTTAAACGAGATGAGTCGTGACGACAATTTTTAGCACTGTTATAGCGCAACGCAGAGTTGCAATTAATATTGTTTTGACATTGTTTCAAATGGCTGCAAAGTTTTTCCAACATTGCAACGATGTTTTGCGTTAAACTAGAGAATCGTATGCATTTATTTAAAGCCATGCGCGAAGTACAACCACTGATGTCGATAGATTCACAAAATGTTGGATAAATAAATAAATAAATAAATATAGTTTATTTCATTTTCTTGCAGTTAAAAAATACTAAAAATAAATAAGCAACTCTTAAGAAATTTCAACCAAATTTAATACCAAAATTCTTTGAATGTTCTTCTTTTCGCATCAAAAATCATCGAAAACAAAACTCATTACACTAATTATAAACAAAATTAAAGCGTGGTTGTCATTACCCAGTTACAAGTTTCATATGTTGCTTGGAACTCGCACTTTAGGGACACCTTCAGGATCAGCCTCATAATTTGACTTTTCCGACAAAAGTTTGTGTCCAAGAGTTCAGTGCATATATAAAACTTCAGGAGCTGGCGCTGCGGAGAGGTAAACTTGGTAGACTGTACTGTGTAATGTATAGAGTGGAATTCTAAAGGAGCGTTTTTATAGAGAGAGAAAAGGAATGCGCGATTTTGCTCATTTACAAGGTTATATCTTGCAGGCAAACTTTAAATTGTGCAATCGGTCTATACATGACACACTAGATCGTTTGGTTAAAATCACAGTGTGTTGTTTTCCCAATAGAGCGTTTTCACTCACGTGGCCAGCATCTATGCTATTTTACTGGAAATAAAGAAAGTACTTGCATAAGAAAAGAGTTCAACTCCCTAAGGATTTTCTTGGTACACCAACATGGCCGCTGTTTCATCGTTTGGGATCACCAATATGGCCGCCGTGACGTAAAGTGAAAACGCTCCATTAGGTACAACTGTGGCAGCCCAAATTACGCCTAACAGCCACACTCTGTGGCAAACACCACCGAGGCCGACCATGCATACCAAGTACAAACAAATGACGGGGCGAATATAATTATTTTTTCGATGTTCTAAATAGAAAACTAGGCTTCTCCTCTGATATCTGTGTTTCTTAAGGTTTTTTAAATCACTAAGGAAATATAAGGATTAAGTTTATCTACGGCACAAATAAGCTTTATAATGAAGGACTTTTTAATTTGCAGCTTGAGAAAACAGCCGACGTTTTGCGAAAACTCCACTGGTTTCCCCACGAAATGACGCCTGAGAAACAAGCGCACAAAGTCCATACTGAAGACGTGGGTAGTACTCTGATTGGCCAAAGCAAATATCCCACGTGGCATCGCCAGTCGGAATCCGAATGCATCTTTTTGTATGAAGACTCTATGAACGCTTACGAAATGATCCGAATACCTTCAATAAAATTAGTCCGGAATCTTGAATCCGAAATATTTATGAATCCTGTAATGTAACTGTAGCGCCTACGCGAACAATCCAGTGGTATTCCAGACTTTTATATGTGCAAATGTATGATTAGTTATCCGTCATTTGCCACATTACTTTTAACCGACGAAGATCCCTACGTTGACGTTGATGTAATTCATAATCTTGCCCTACTTATTCTAATGCGAAGAGAGGCCGAAGTGAAAACAACACGCTTTTACGCTTAAAACCATCCAGCTTTGCTATTTGCGCTTTTCCCGCTGTTTCTCTAAATATATACCATAGAAGATTCGGTCGACCAACGAATGACGTCTCTTTCCTCGAAACCGACATTAGGGTGTAAAAAGAAAAATGGAACTGTCCGTTGTGAAATGAATTGAGCCGAACTGTGCTTTTGAAATAATTAAGATTTATCTATTTTATCCTTTTTTTTTTCATTCTTCACTTTAATTTATATCTCATTATTATTATTATTTTTCTACCCTCGGCTTTTTCAGGTACGCAAGTACGTACCGTGCGTACAGATAGCTACGCCCCCGTTTCGGCTGTTATAAGCCAATGATTTGGTTATAACCTTTGACTCATAATCTTGGAAGATTTGGAATACAACTGTATACAGCTTGTTTATGATCATAAAACTCTAGCGTGCTTAAAACATAAAAAAGGCTGCAAGTGACAGGACACGAAAAAAAATGAGTGCGCGTTTTAACAAAATACTTTTCTATTCTTCAGTGGGAGTTTCAGACATGACGGCAAGAATAGTTTTCCGTATCACAGTTGTGGCTGTCCTGGTCTACAGCGCAGTAACTCAGAAATGTCCTGCACGTGGAAGATCCGAGAGCTCCATCATTGGCTGGATGTTACGGGGACACGTATACGACACTCTTCTAGCGGAACTTCCCTTTACATGCGTATTCAAGTGTCGCCAAGACAATCGATGCCAAAGTTTTAACTGGGTGATCTCTCTTCTCACCTGCGAGTTTAACAACAGGACAAAAGAAGCCAGGCCGGAGGACTTCATTCCAAACCCGGAAAGATCTTACTATCCACGCGATTTAAAGCGAGGTGAGTCGGCATACCAGGAAGGGGGGAACTCCCTATAATGGGGACTAAGTTACATTTTGCCTAAACTGCGCTTGAACATTTAGGCTCAAATCTGTCTTTTGGAGTAAATTGAAGACCGATGCTCAGATGTCAATAAAAACAAAGGTGGAAGTTCCAGGGGATCGAAAAGCTTTTAAGCAACAAATTTAAGTCCTTAACTTTTTAAGTCCTTGCGTAGCGTGTACGTCAACAATGGCCTTACCATGGAAACCGAATTTTGACAGCCGTGTTTACAAAATTAGCATTTTCTATAAAACCTGAGGTTTTATTTCTATGTTTACTAATTGTATCATTATAGTTATCACTTAATTTAGCATTATTTACATATTATTAGCCACATTTTATTGACAGCATGGACGCACCTGGTGCCAAAGTAAGATGCGCTGGGTGCGATTGTTGAAAGAGCTTATTTTGCTTTTTCTTTTGCAGGTTTTTTTTGTTTTGTTTGTTTATATATTTAATATTTTTCCAACTAACATTTTCCCCTTTCCTTCTACTTCTTGCCACTTCCTTCTTCTTCCTCTCCCATTCCCCACTTCGGCATTACGTAAAAAGTATGCAGGGTTAAAAAGCATACTGATGAATTAACATAGATCTGTTTCTGACCGTTTAGTTCCCCTTGGTTCGATTCAAGAACTGCCAGCTGAAACTTGTGACGAAATAAAGAGGAGTGAAGGACACGCTGTTAGCGGGAAATACTGGTTTTCCACTGTAAAATCTGGTACATTTGTAATGGCTTATTGCAATATGAAGACCAACGGTGAGTTTGGTCAGACGAGTTATAGATAATCGGCGAGTGAAAAGCTTGATGTTAAGTTTTTCGATATTTTATCATGCCTCATCGCTGACTAAGTTTTAGCGGGAGATGTAAACTAATCATGCAAACACACACACAAAAAAAATATGAAAAAATAAATTTTGAGCAAAAAAATCATGTTAGATAGAAAGGGTTAATGCCGTTCAATAATGTTTGTTTGTGTAGACATTGACGAATGCAGTGTTTCCCCTTCTGTATGTGACATCAACGCCAACTGCTCCAATACTCGTGGATCTTATTACTGCACTTGTAAGGCAGGATACACTGGCGATGGAAAAACTTGCCAAGGTAATATAAGATACTTTAGCTAATTTCAACAGGACTGAATATTTCCATTAAGAAAGTGTTTTTTTCTTAATAAATTTTTTCTTCTTAGACACTGACGAGTGCAGTGCTTCTCCTTCTGTATGTGACATTAATGCCAACTGCTCCAATACTCGTGGATCGTATTACTGCACCTGTAAGACAGGATTTACAGGCGACGGAAAAAATTGCCAAGGTAGGAGAAAATACTTCAGCTAATAAGTTAGTTTACTGCTGTACCATCAGAGATGGCAGTTTCCTGGAGACGTGTGACATCATTTGAAATGGCGGCTAATAATGAGATCGCGGTAATCCATCGAATCCGTGTTTGTTTCTGGTATCGGGACGCTTGATGTGTTTTCTACACTTAAAATTCAATTACTTAACGGAAAGTGATGTTTAAATCGACGGCTTCACGATCATAGTTGCATTATGGGTAATCAGGGCAAGAGGGCGAGAAATTCAAAGATTTGTATTGGCATTCAAAGCCAGCTAATTCTTCCTGAATTCATACATTTGATGCTTTCTCCTTGAAGAGAATAAATTTATTTACGAGTTCAAAGCAATAAATCTAGGCTGCAAAGAAGTCCGTGATCAGTTACTAGAAAACCTTGATTTCTCCTTTCATTTTCTGTAATTCGACAGTATCAAAATTACAGAAAATGTATGGAAAAGTTGAGGTTTTCTAAAAACTGATCTTGGACTATTATGCAATGCAGATCCAGCTCATAAGTTGCACTTTTCAAAAAGAACGTGGTTAATATATATGAATTCAGGAAGAATAAGCTGGCTTTGAATTCCAATACAAATCTTTGAATTTCCCGCCATCTTGCCCTGATTACCCATGATGCCATTATGAGCGTGTTCAAAGAAGGCTACTGAAATCGGATCCCTTGACTTTGCACGTGCAAGCTAGTGAAGACTGAGTTTTTGGAATTTCCATTTTGTACTTTTTTTTTTTTTGTATTTTATCATTTCCTCCATTTATTTATATTACAGGCCATTTATATTTTATTACAGATTCGAAGATACCATTCATAAAATTTCAGGTATCACGGATTACAGGAATAAATGGTCGGGAGAAGGGCAAGATATTGTGAAACTTAAATTACATGCCCTATGATTAAATTACAGTTTTATTTAGGGTAAAAGAGAAAAAAAGATAAGTATATGAAGTATGAAATATAAAAGAGAGAAAAAAGAAAAGTACACAAAAATCTCTAAGAACATAAGAGGGTCGGTATGGCGGTGATTATACTGAGCAAGATAACGGGTAGTATAGTGTTCGTTTAAACTTTTAAATCTCTAATGTCAATTTTATTACAAGGAAAGGGACTTAGCGTAGGATGATGCGAAAGAGTCAAGACTGGCAAATTATCAGCTATTTGTAGAGCAATGCTACCACTAGTACTTGGCGTTATAAGTTAGAAAGAATGTGGTCTATACAACTTGTTATCGACTCGGTTATGCGGGTTTATTTTATTTCATTTTATTCTTTTTTATTGGCTTCTGCTATTACTGAACAATGAATAATAAATGCTTAATAGGCAGGGGTGCGACAACAGCGGTGAGCCAATTAAAAAAGTGGTACCAGAGCTTAAAAGATATGTAAGAAACAGTAAAACTTCTTATGATCATTAAAAACAACAACTGAGACGGCCGATAGACACGTTACGTTACATTAGCCTGTCCCTATATATGTTTGGTCACAAATGAATAGTAGATCCAGTATACTTTGTAGCGCGCCTCTGGACGCCCTCGAGCTTTCGAATCAGGTCTATTGACTGCGGAGTCCAGACTTGCGTGGCATAGCCAAGATGGGATCTTACTAGGGTAAGGTATGCCGAGTGTCTAACCGTATGAATGCTTTTGACGAGTCTGGTGTCTGGTGTTTCTCTGTACATGTCCCAGGGGCCTGCTGGCACATTGACTTGCTTATTCCACGGGAGATTATCAGTGATGTAAACACCAGGATCCTTCTCGGCAGAGTCAACTTCAAGCTGAGAGCCGGCCATATGATAGACAAAGATGACGGGTTTAAGTTTCCTAGTTATGCGCTGCGCTTTGCATTTGCTGTAGTTAAAGTTTAGGCTAAAAGAATCTGACCACTTGACCAGGTCAGACAGGTCCTCCTGAAGCTGTTCTGCATCGCGCGTTGATGTTATTTCTTTGAAGACCTTTGTGTCATCGGCAAAAGCGGCAATCTGGCTTGATCTAACAACATCTGGCAGAGAGTTCACACACAGAAGGGTTGTGAATTGCTCATGGCGGATTGCCGATTGCAGACATTGCAGATGATAATGAGAGATGCAAAAAGTGTGTTCTGACAAAGAGAACTAAAAAGGAGCAGTTAGATGGAAACTATGAAACATTTTCAATTCAAAGTGGACTAGTGATTTTTCAATTAGTGTTGTCTTTCTTAGACATAGACGAATGCAGTGCTTCCCCTTATGTATGTGACATCAACGCTAACTGCTCCAATACTCGTGGATCGTATTACTGCACCTGCAAACCAGGATTTACAGGTGACGGAAAATATTGCCAAGGTAGGGGAAAGTACTTTAGCTAATAAGTTAGTTTACTGCTGTACCATCAGAGATGGCAGTTTCCTGGAGACGTGTGACATCATTTAAAATGGCGGCTAATAATGAGATCAAGGTAATCCGTCGAATTCGTGTTTGTTTCTGATACTAGGACGCTTGTGTTTTGCATTAAAGGGGCGGGGTAAAAAAATGCTACGTTTGAAGACAGTTATTTATTGAAAGGTGATGTTTAAATTACTCGACAGCGTCGATCGTCCGTTAAATGCCCCATCTTCCAGGTGCAAGGAAGTGAAGACTGAGTTTTTGGAATTGCCATAAGCAGATGATTATGTCATTGAGATGCAAAAATTAAAGTGTGATGAGTTCTAACGAAGACAACTAAAAAATGAGCAGCTAGATGGAAACCAAGAAACATTTTTCCCCTTTTAATGAATTTTAATCTCCTTTCAGCATGGATTGATCATGACTGAATAGTTCCTTTAAGAATTCAAAGTGATTTTTAATTAATGTTGTTTTTCTTAGACGAAAGCAGCCACCCCTCCCCCGCCGCCGCCTTCTGTATGCGATATTTACGCACTATGAATGCACTAAAATGGGGTGTGTCGAGGGGCGGAGGTTGTAGGAGTTTAGGCTGAACACGATGAAATATAGCCCCCTTGCAGCTTGACCAGCCCGATGAATCAGTCTAAAAGTGAGTGTCCTTTCAAAGGAATGATGACAGACAGAAGATTGCAGAATTGACTAAGGTGGAATTGTCCAATTTCGAGGCCAACATTGAGAGAGAGATAGAGGGAAAAGGACTTTGAGTGCAGCGTTATTCCTTCAATTGACCCAAGTTCTAATAATGTCACAAATTGTACGTAGCTAAAGGAAGAATAACTATACGTCTCTGTCTGTCTGATTAATTTATTCACATCCTATTTCAGGATCGATAGTTCCCTCAGAATGTAACTCCTACATTGACCTTGATGAACCTGGCCGATATTGGGGCAATAATAGTGGTTCTGTAATCTGCGATCAGCGTGACCCTAAATTTGTCAACAATAAGTGGTATCGCTTTGTTGGAGGAGCTGGGAGGATGATGGCGTCGTATTGCATACCCAAATCAAGTTGCAGTACCCATAGATCTTCATGGATAAATGGTGATCATCCGACTAGTCTCTACACCACGGTGACAACAACTGTATGCATGCACTGGGGTTCAGACTGCTGCGAGAGATCCTACCTCGTTGGCATAACACAATGTGACGGCTACTACGTGTATAAACTGCAAAAGCCCACATCATGTTCTGAGCGTTACTGTGGTGTTTTAGGTAAAGAGTCTCCCTTCATTGTCATATGAATAGCATCATTTGAAAGATAACTTATCATTCGATGGCACTTCTATATATATGTTCGAACTTCTATCATTTCCTCGAACAATAGCGGGGGGCGATTATTTCTTTTTTCGCACCAAAAAGGGGGCGGTAATCCGTGTGAGGCGATTATTTCAAATATTGTTCACAAGAAGTCGTGCGCTGAATATTCTGAATGTTCCATTTTCCCATTAATTAAATTAAAAAAAAGATAACGTCAAATAAACTGAACCTTGACATTTAAAGTGTTCCAAATTTGGTTTCTTGATTAATTTTCACCGTAAATGTCCTCGGCGTCAAATCTTGAATCGTCACTGATCAGTTATGCTGGATCAGACTCCACTTCAGCTTCATCCTCAAGTTTACCGCGCTATGGGTATCCCTAGCGGGTAACCTATATGACCTATATGGGTGGGAGAGGAGCGATTAGGGAGTTTAAGATACGGAGACTACGGACTACGAACTATGGCTGGACGAGCGTTAGGCCTACTCTGGGACCATAAGTCGCCGTAACTTTAAGCGACTTTGGGCGATTTAAGGCGACTTTAGGCGACTTTAGGAAAATTTGCTAAAATTGTTATGCGACATAAGGCGATTCAAGGCGATTTAAGGCGACTTTAGGCGACTTAAGGTGACCTATTAAGTGAATTAAATGCCAGTGTCTACAAAATTGACATCTACTGATAACACCACCTGTCTATGGAGACAGTCGGTCTTGGAGACGTCTATTAAACACCCAAAATTCCAACAATCTCAAGACATTTAATACTAAAATAGTGATTCTACCTTCTACTTTGAACATTACATATCAAGGTAGCCTGCGTCGCAGATGTTATCTAACACTGGTTAGTCAGAGCTGCAGAGCAGCACTGCAGACAGACTTAACCCAGAGTTTAGTTCCATCTGTGGCGCAGGCTAACATCAAGGTGTTGGTTTAGTATTACTATAGCAGAGACAAAATCTGGACTGGAAGCAACCAAAAGGGTAAAGTTTCTTTTAGCCTTTAAATGCAATATTTTACAAGATAAGGGATAAAAACAATGGTTCCTGCATTTCTTTTCCCGAAAAATAAACCCCCCTAAAATGACTGAAAGGCATGCAATTTTTTTTTTACCAAGGGTGATATAATGGTATAAAAATAATCATCAAACTTTAGTTTAAAAAAAAAAAAAAAAACTTAAAGATTCATACAAAAGTTAAGGATGCAATGTCACATTAAAGATAAGAAATTGCATGTGCCTGAGTACATTACTCCAATGCAGCTCTTTAAAGCGGAGAGCTGGTTTGTAAGAAAAAACTCAAAGTTTATATTAAAGTGTCCATCTTCATAATTTGACAACAAACATTAAAATAGTTAATATTAAATCATTTATCAATATTGCAAATTATGGCCATGACGATCCCCAGTGTATGTCGTCGCACTGCTCTGCCAATGTTTGTCCTCATACAGTCATACAAGTACGTTTGGCAAGTTAAAGAAGTTCTTCCAATTGCATTCGGATACAAGCTTAAAGTTGGCCTTTCTCGCCAACACATATATTGCTCCTTTCCCGTCTCAATCAAAGAAAACACTCCAATATTGCCAATACTTGCTTTGCTTGTGAACCGTACTCGCTTTCCATAAATTCCACGGTCTCTTTGAAAACTTTCCAGTCGGGTTGATTTCATGAATCTGCATGAATACATTACCAGCAAAAACAAAACCAACTCAAAAAACAGCCTCGCTTTGTTCCACACGGCAGCGTTTGCGCTGTCGGCATAAAAAGAAGCCTTTATGTTTAAACCGATGGCAGTACCAAGTTTAAACGTTTCCATCATAATCTCGGAAATTTCCAGTTAAAGGAGATCTTCGAAAGGAAAACGTACTAGCAAGCCGCCATTTTGAATCTCTCAGAATTCCTCTGCAGTCCACTGTTTCTCGCCCCCGCCCTCTCCCCGCCTCCAGACCAGCTTGTCATGTGACCAAAACACCACACTTTCAGGCGGCCATGTGCTACGGGTGAGCAGTACATTGAGGACAGAGGAAAGAGCTGCATTACTTGGCGTTTCTACGTTCTTACTTAAGTTTAATGGTCGATTACATCAAATCGTTTGGCAGGGAGCAATCACGACAACATACACTAAGCCATTTTACGCGCCTTCGATGCACAGAATTGTTTTTACGAGTGATTGGTTGGAACTTTACACTTGCAGTAAAGCTTGAGTTTATATCTGTCTGGAAGGGAAGAACTAAAGGGACGACTATATAAGCTAAGTGTTCAAGTATATAAGAGTGATTGTGCATATGACTGATAGATGGATATAATTCGACGGTAAATACATATCAGAGGTTGTGTGCTGGAGAAATGACTTATTATTGGTTGCTCTTACAATCTGTTCCTGGGTAAGGATTAAGTTTAAGGTGGACGTTTTTGTCGATAGACCTTTAAGCTTGTAACTTGTTAGCCCTACTTACCAGACGCAAGATGGATGTTGTGGCGGCAGTAATTGGTTTTTATCTCCGTGCAACGTACCTTTTTCGATCTTAGTTTTCTGAAATGTCTTTCACTGGTTATAACGAGATTAACTCTCACAAAGCAGTAGAAAAATGACTTTTCCTTTTTTTAATTATAGTCTATTCAGGCTGCACAGGAAGTCAGCTGTACAACTTGCTGTTCTGACAGCTGTACCTAGCATGCAATAGCCTAAAAGCCATTTTGACTAACCGGAATTATTATTATTTTTTTTATGAATGGGATTGATTACAGTTCTGTAATTTGAATTCCCTCAAATAATTCACTTGTCAGCTAGGCAAGTTGAAATCACCAGTCCAATAATGAAATCCAGTAGCCCAGGGCTACTGCCTGGACACTACTCTCTTTGCACGCTGTTTACTATATTTACCTGGAACTTGAACCTTTGAATGCCATTCAACAACACTTTTACTCTGAAATATGAGACAAACCTACCTGAAGAAATGAATGAAATACCTTTTGTGTCATTTTTGCCTAAGCAATACAGGAATAGTTATTCTTGCATTGCTTACAACTATTTATTTTGTGTATTAAATTGCCTAAAGTAATTCAATGTCTCAATTAAAAGGCTGGAGAAGGAGTTAATGTGCCTTGATAAGTCACTGTGGGAGTTTTTTTGGGGGTGGGGTGCGGTGGAACTGTGGTAATATCATTGAACATGGGTTATTACACACTTTATGAGGAATCATACATTCTGGAAATTCAGATAGAAAACTAGAAAAGTAATCACTATTAGAGAATTTCAACCTCTTACTTAGAAAGTATGATGATTTAAAGCGACTTAAGGCGATTTAAGGCGACTTTAGGCGATTTAAGGCGACTTTAGGCGACTTAAGGCGATTTAAGGCGATTTAAGGCGACTTTAGGCGATTTAAGGCGACTTTAGGCGACTTAAGGTCCCAGAGTAGGCCTAGCGTTGTCCTTTGTTCGTAGCACTGGGCTGAGTCGTGCAAATATAGAACGTTAAGATTGGACTACAGACTGTAAACTACGAGAGAAGAGGCGGAGAGGGAAACAACACGCAAAGATTTTCTTGTTTTCATCACAGTTCACAAAAATGCAAGTCAGTTTTGCATGTGATCTTATCTTTAGAACAATGAACAAATTCTTCCATACTTGAAGGAAGCAATTACGTCGGGTGAAATTGATAAACAAAGTTTTGGTTACACAGGTTTTATTTTTTCGCCCATGAATACTTATGTCAAATATTAAAGAAATAGACAGAAATAGTAATATCTCATTTATTAGATTTAGAGGATGGACTTCTCCGACTACTGATCTTATGTACTTTGAAGTATTGAAATGCCGAGTTTCGATTGTCTCGAAGATGTTTACATCATTTTCATTCAGCAAATGGCGCGATTCAAAAACTCGCATAAACAAACGTCACACAAGTAGAAAGACACACTGATCAGTTCGACCAAACATTGAAACTTTTCAAGTGCGAAGAGAAAGTAAATTACCTGCATGATTTCTCTTCTCCTACGCCGTCAATCTGAATTCTGCGTATAAACATCTGAACTTAATATGAGCTTAGTTAGAAAGATTTGAATCACAACAGTCGATTAAAAGCGTGAATCTCAGCAGAAATTAGACACAACTTACATATTTCGCTTCCCTCTCACTTAAAGCAGGTGAATTGAAAACTTTTTACGAAAAGATGAGATTCTTGAATTACCGGACGGCAAAATACGAGCAAAATGTTCTCCGTCGTCGCGACTACGCGAAACAGCTCAACAACTCACCGTAGCCGCAGGACTACGCGAGAAAAATGAATAGTCACGTGGTTTTGATCATGCGCAGTAGCATGTTTATCCGTAGTCGTAGTCCGTAGTCGCCGTATCTTAATCTTAACTCCCTACTAATCGAGGGACGGCTACTATTCGAGGAAATACGTTATTTCATGCCCGTTGCTTCTTCCACATTTTCTCATCATTAATTTTTGCTGTGACGCAGATGCAAATGATGCCTGTTTTGGAACCGCAGGATCAGACGTCTGTGCTTGTAATCCGGGTTATAGGGGAAGTCCTTGTTCTGGTAGGTAAATACATACTTGCACTTAGACTCGTACGGTCTCACTTTGAACAGAACGCGGACATCATTATCATTATTATCATCATCATTGTATTTGATAAAGCAGGTTAATAGGCGCATACATGTGTTTTGATGTTGATACTTTAGGGAAACTGATTAAGAGACCCTTCTTCTACTTTCCTTCTTAGTGAAAATTAATTCACGATAATCATTCATATCGTATTAAATTGAAATTTCCCTGTTCCATTATTATCGTCTCCTGCAGCTAACTCTATTTGAACAAACTGCATTCTGTATTAAAGAAGAAGAATACTTCTAACACTTGAAAGCTCCGAAAAAATTTCCGAGCTCCTGGTTAGAATCAAGAATCACTTCTCTATAACCACTGAGCTACTGGAACGCTAATGGCGAGCAGGTCGGAATTTCAAAAAAAGTACACCAGACCATTAGGGCCGTCCACTAGCGTACAAACCAAACGTTGTTTATTTAAAGAAGAAGAAGAAGAGATATAACACTTGAAAACACAGAATAACTTCCAAGTAAAGTAGCACAGGTCCCGGAGTTAATACATCAAACTTTTTGGGCAACGTTATTGGTTTTTGTTATTTAATTTGTTTTTGTCAAATTCTCTTCTCTTCAGTTCTCACCGGCCGGTACCGGATTCATTTTTTTTTTGCCCAAAATTCCATTTGGGCTATTAATAATTATTCAGGCTTCCTTGACTTGATTTAATACAAACCAACTTATAACTCCGATAGGCTCAACCTTTCCATAAAATTGAACGACAATAATAATAAAAAAATAGATAATAATAACAACAATAATAGTAATAATAATAATAATAATAATAACAATAATAATTATAATAATAATAATAATAATAATAATGAAGTGTCCATCAGGAGAGGAATATTCCAGGGGGATTCCTTATCCCCTTTGTTATTTGTGATTGCAATGCTACCTCTCATCAGTGTACTGAACGATTTAGGAGCAGGCTACAAAACTCAGTAAGGAAGAGGGCAAGATAACCCATTTATTGTTTATGGACGACCTGAAATTATATGGAAGAAATGAGAAGGAAATTAACTCACTTGTACATACTGTCCGGGTGTTCATCAGTGACATTGGTATGGATTTTGGAATCGAGAAGTGCGCAACGATGGTAATGAAGAGAGGCAAGCTGGATAAGTCAGAGGGCATAAGATTGCCTGATGGAAGAATTATCCGAGGTATTGGAGATGATGTTGAAGGTTATAAATATCTGGGGGTGTTGGAGGCCGATGACATTACGCATGACGAAGTGAAGAGAAGTATGAAGAAGGAGTACATTAGGAGAGTGAAGAAAACTTTGTCCTCAAAGCTAAATGCTGGTAATGTCATAAAGGCTATTAACAGCTGGGCTGTATCTCTACTTCGGTACAGTGGGGGGATTGTAAATTGGACAAAGAGTGAGCTTGCTGAATTGGATCGTAAGACCAGGAAACTATTAACCATCCATGGCGCTCTTCACCCCAGGTCCAATGTAAGCCGCTTGTACCTACCAAGAAGAGAAGGAGGGCGTGGACTAATTAGTGTTGAGGATGCCATTAATATTGAAGAAAGAAATATCAATGTCTACGTCTGCCAGAGCCAGGAACGGTTGTTGAAAGCTGCATGGAAGAGTAAGAATGTCAATGAAATTGAAACTCCAAAGGAATATAAGGAAAAGATGAAAAGGAAAAGAACTGAGGACTGGTCTGGAAAGCAGCTGCATGGGCAGTTCAAGAGAGAGACAGATGACCTATCTGGTGTGTCTTGGGAGTGGATAACAACTGGTGAACTGAAGAAGGAGACAGAAGGGCTTATTTTTGCTGCGCAAGATCAGGCACTAAGAACAAACGCCGTAAAAGCCAGAATCGAAAACCAAAATGTATCATCCAAATACAGAATGTGTGGTAGCCACGATGAAACTGTGGGGCATATTTTGTGTAGTTGCCCCAAGCTTGCGCAGACAGAATATAAAAAGAGGCATGATGTTGTTGGGCGGGTCATTCATTGGGAGGTGTGCAAGGAATATGGTGTTGAGTGCAGTGACAAATGGTATGAGCATTCCCCCAAAAGCGTAGAAGAGAATGAGGAGGTTAAACTGTTGGGGCACTTTACCATCCAAACAGACCGTGAAATTCATCAAAGGAGGCCAGACATTGTAATTCAGAAAAAGAAGGCAAAAGAAACAATCATTGTGGACATAGCTGTTTTCGGAGATAGTAATATTCTGCAGAAAGAAACTGAAAAGTGTGAAAAGTACCAAGACCTGGCAAGAGAGATTCAAAGGCTCTGGAAATCAAGGACAAAAGTGGTGCCAGTGGTTGTAGGTGCATTGGGTTCAGTGTCAAAGAAGCTGGCAGGCCACTTGGAGCAACTAGGAATTAAAAAACGAACAAGAACGATGCAAAAGTCGGCACTCCTCGGATCGGCACATATCCTCAGAAAGGTGCTGGAAGTCTGAGGTCTCGGGATGAGACTTGACTGGATATTTCTCCCCAGGGAAAATCCCTGTGCTAAATTTTACATAATAATACTAATAATAATAGGCTTCACGGCGGAAGGGTTGGTTAATAAGCGTAGTAGAATGGTTCTTGGACAAAATTTTAGGGCAAACGGAAACATTTTTATATATTTTAACGTTTTAATATTTTACAAGAGCCAGTTATGACTATAATATTCTTAATATTTCAATACTTTTTAAATAAGAAACTAAGGCTTCACGGCGCAGGGGTTGTTTACGGTCAGACGCCCAGCTTCTGTGTTTTTTACTAATACTGGGCATCCAGACCTTTAAAACTGCCATAATAATAAGTGATGATGAGGATGATAATAAACCATTATTGGATGAGGTTTTTGTGATATCCGGAATAATCAAAGTCGACTGGTAAGTGTTATCAGCCGAGCGGAAGGCCGGGGCTGATAACACTTACCGAGACCTTGATTATTTAGGATATCACAAAAACCGAGTCTAATGATTGTTATACATTGTTTTGAAGAAAATAACCAGAAACAAACCGTCGCAAAGATTGAACCTGTATTGATATTGCTATAGGAAATCACGCATTGCGCTTGCAGCTAGCATACAGATTAGTTAGTTATCTGCTAGCAGATAACTAGCTATCTGTAGGTTACGCTGATTTCCAAAATTAGCTGTAGGCTCTTAGCCAATGAGAAGACAGCTAAAGATAGAGTACAATGTATAATAACAAAATTAATATCTACTAAAAACTAAAAGCAGCAAAACTGTTTACAAACTCATCGAAATAGCTAACAAAACTATTTACTTGAGATGTCGACTTTTTAATGTCCTTTGAAAAAACTCAATGCTTCGCACGTCTTTTGTTTGACTATCCCCAGAGGTCCAAAAAGTAAGTTACAAGCGATTCTGACGATTCACACCCCCGTACACCCCTAGCTCATAAACATCAAGACTTCATATCAAACATCAAAGACCTTCAAAGAACGCTTGAATCGGTTATGCAAATTGTTTAAATTCAACCACTTATTAGTACTTCGCCGTTTAAATGGATGAATGGTAGGAGCACGAATACTGAGTGCAGGTAAGGTGTCTCTCGCAACTTTATTATTATTAGTATTTATTTTTTCAGACGTAGACGAATGCACAGTGGGTACCCATGATTGCCATATGTCAGCTACTTGCACGAATACCAAAGGTTCTTTTACTTGTTCCTGTAATCCTGGTTACACGGGCGACGGCAAAACCTGTAGCAGCGGTAAGCTGTCTTAACCTACAAGGAACTAAATCTATCTGGATTGCTTCTGTTGTAAATCTAACTTTGTCTTCCTTAAAAAACACATTGGCTAGTAAGTACACTTCGATGATCAATGCTCATAAAAGGAAAAAAAAAAAAAAAAAAAAAAGAAATGAAAATGTGATTGGGAGCTGGAGGCACATTCATTGCATGTAGGAGCTGCGGTTAAAGTGTCTCCTAATTGGTCGCAAGAAACAATGATATTTCATTCTTCCAATTGTTTTAGTAATAAGTATTGTTGGGGGTCAGGGAAACGCACCATTGCTGACTTCTCTTCCGAGCAGCTTCTTCATGACCATTGATTCCACGGCTGCCATACCTCACAATAACATATCATGATGCCTTCAAAATCAACAGTACTGTAGTGCTATAAAATTTGTATCTGTCTGCCAGTTTTACACGAAAAACCATACTACCAAATCCAAATTATTCATTCATTGCAATCTTAAGATCCAAGGACGGCGACACCTTTTTCCCTTTCGTCAACGATCGTTGCCATTATTTCCCCCATGATAACCTAGCCTTTATGTAATAAATTCCCTGAAGGCAAATTAGTTGTAGAAAGAACGTACAATGCGACAAGTCTCCGTGCCGCGAGCCAAAGTTTTAATAAGACGAAGGACTTCTTCGAAAGTTGAAGATATTACTTGAGAATGTCAGCAATAAATCTCCGTCGGCGGTCCGGTCCGGAAGGAAATCATGATATAATTTGACAGTTCTATTGTCTTCAAAAGAGAAAAAAACAGATAACGCTCGAGAGTGCGCATAATCGGAGCGCTGTCCCTTTAAGCGATTGTTTTCCTACCGGCATTTTCTGGCTTGCTTTCATTATATTGACATCATCCTTGACATATTAACAGATTATGACGCCTAACTTGTCTCTGGGAGAAGAAAAGCCAGCAATACTTAGGTGAAGGAGTATTAGGAATGCCAGTACACCAGACGACAACAATCAATGAAAATCAATCATTGATTTCAATCAATACAATCGATACATAAAATCAATAAAAATCTATTGATTTCTAAAGCCAATCAATAAAAACCGATAATCACTCACCGATTATGCAACAGTAAAAACCCTAGCCTCCCACGCAGTCGTTCTTGGGGGTTCGTCACGCGTTCCTGTCCCACTAACGACGTTAGTGGGGCGGGGGATGCGTGACGAATGTAGAAGGCCTAAATGTAATAAACCACCCTAAATGTAATAAAGTCCTAAATATAATAACATTTTGTCCGAAATGTAATAAAGTCATAAATGTAATAACGCATTGTCCTAAATGTAATGAACTCTTAAGTTGTAAATTATATTAGTTACTCAAATAAGCGCCGCCCTCCAATAAGCGCCACATTTGGGCGCTTTGATAAGCGCCACGGCGCTTATTTGTGTAAATACGGTACTAAGAAGTTTTACTATGGTTTTAAGCTCCGCCCTCAAATAAGCGGCGGATTTTTGGAGAAAAAATTTAATAAGCTTCGGTACATTTCCTTAGGCCCGCTATGTAACTTGACGTCGTTTACAAATAAATTGCCTGTAAAGGGACAAAGTAAATAATAAAAAAAAACTTGTAAGCCTTAAAAAGTTTTTCATACTTCATTTTACTTAAAGAAATTTACTGCAAAAACCGTGGACGAAGATCCTGTTGCTTGTCAACGTTGGATCTCCAGGAAAGAGATCTAATCAGCTAAAATGTTAACGAGAAGTCTAAGGGCCTGTTCACACGGAGCTGGGGGACCCAAGGTAGGTGAGGTAACCCGCTTTGGTGCGTAACCCGCCTGTCCACATAATCTCTCATTTTGTTATTACAAATAGGACTTTATTACATTTAGGGTCGTTTATTACATTAGGCCTTCTACAACGAACCCCTAAGAACGTCTGCGTGGGAGGCTTTAAAAACCCGTGTAGGCATTTAGCTTAAATGCTGGCTAAACGTCGGTCGCAAGCACAACAATGCTGTTACGTTATGTCTGTGGAAATTTCTATTTCCTGTGTAGTCATGGAGTATCACCACTGTCCTTTTAAAGTAAAGGAAGGGAAAGTGTTTTCCGTTTCCAAGAAGAGGGGAGAACTGAGGGAAGAACGAGGGGAGAACAGAGGGAACTGAGGCCAGCTTGGCCATCTCCAAGCCGATCTTGTCACCCCACTTTATTCACATCAAGTGGATATTTCCGCGTAAGTACAGTAAACGGAGAAATAAAACAGTCTGTAGAACAATTTACACAAATCACACTACAGCCAATAAAATCGATGTAAATCATGAAAATCTATGAAAATAAAGAATCACTCAAGACTACTGCGGCTTTGATTTTTATTGATTTTCAATATCAATCAATTAATTGCTATTGATTTTTATTGACCATTATTGATGTTATTGATTACTGATTTTGATTGAATGTTATCGTCTGGTAGTACAATGTACAAGCATTTGTGGTACTTACAGTCGAGGCCCCTGTGTGTCCTGTCATGATTGACTGTTCCTCGAGATCAGCAATGACGACATCATTTTCGCTACTCCCCTCTTTATCTAACACAGTATCCGATTCTTCACTCTCCTCTTCACTGCCCAACAACTCACTTCCGTTGTCTGGACTTTGATGATGATGATGATAATAATAATGATAGTGGCAATGGGAAATTTTATAGCGATCGGACAAGGAAAAAAAACATTTTAAAGGCGATTGAAAAATATCGGTATGGCCTCTGAAAAACTGTATCGAATCACCTTAAGCCTAGCGACGTTCTTGTAATGCGTTTTCTGGAGTTCTTTCTCGTCCTACAAACTTCCGCCCACTCAGCGAATTTAAAAAAGCGAAAAATGGACAAAATGAGTGGAAGAACACATTTTTGTTGTAGGTTGTTGGTCTCGCTTGCGTAAGCAGCGAGACTCATAATATGCAACGCGTTTTCCTCACGGGAGGTAGTCCCTTATATAGGCTATATAGGTAAGTGCAGCGCCAAAGTGTATGTTTTTTTAGCCGTTTTGGTCTGAAATAGGGAATGGTTTTTGCACTCTAGTCTTGAATTGGGTATGTTTTTTAAGAAGAAGCTACTTCATCATTTGGCGATAAGACCATTTCCGTTTTAATGTTTACGCATTCACGCGCCGGGCTCCAGGGCTTCAGATCTGAAATAGGGTATCAAATTTTTGATTAGGTCTGAAATAGGGTAGGGAAAATCAGAGATTTTGGTCTGAAATAGGGTAAGGATTTCAGGAAACGTGCCGCACACCCCCCATCCAATTTCTCTGGAAACATCTCCCCCCCCCCGGGCTTTTTCATCGTATTTTATACAGCTATTTTACAGCAATTGTAGGTACCTTCCACTAAAGAAGAATTAAAGGCTGGCTACAAAACAAACGGACCATCTCCACGCGCCTTCACGCGAAGCGCTATAAATTCGAGAATAATCGACGAATCCGCTCCAAATTGCCATCGGCTGATCTGCAGGTAACGTGTGCTCCGGTTTCTTGCTCGCTTGCTCCACAAACCCCATCGCAACTGCACAATAATCGCTCGCTCACCAACGATTTCTCTGAAATTTCTCTGCTATCTCATTAAAAGCCGGTACCAGAAATTCCAGTAAAAATATATTAGCAATTTTTTTTTTGCGTTGTTCACCGACTTTTCGAATAATATTTATATTTATACGTTATGTGGCTACTATTACAATGAAAGCGTTTTATGATGAATCGCTATTAAAAATTGCTTTCAAACACCGCTATGATGAGCTACAACTTTTATGATGCGGAGTGCTCATCGCGCTACCCGGCCGCATGGCATGGCCTATTTTATTATAGTGTGCATTTAGCTGGCATTTAAGCAAAACGTTTGCCTCATCCGATACTGTGTGTTTTGGTCACCGGACAGGCGCTGTTTGTAGGTATTTCTAAGTTTATATGGGGCAAACAGAGAGATCAGTAAGGTTTGTTTACAAATTATTTTTGGTTACTTGAAGTACGCGTAGGTAAATGTTTGTTTGTTTATCGGCTGCAACATATATCTGAGGAATACCAGAGAATAAATATGAATGATGGGGATATATAAAATCGATCAAAAACGACTCCCGCTTCGCTAACAATGAATCTTGAATTATGTAAATTTCCTTGCGTGCATCTTACTCGCTTCCGATTGGTTCAAAAACAATCAGCTACTGTCAAACATCACAGATGCGCACTATCGTGGCACAGTTCCTTTAAGCGCTAATTTCGCAAAAAATATTTAGCCACAATGAAATCGGAATATTTCATATTATTACTGAATCATATCCGTTGTTCTTTGGAAAGTTTCGAAGCCAGATCGTGTTAAAAACGAAAAAGGTTATGACGAAAAGTTCGTCATAACTCAATGCTCCCTTATTAATGATGGAGCCACCTTAATTTAGGTCGACGCCCAAATTACAATTTAGGCCCGGTTCAGACGCCGCTCTGACTCATGTGCCGAACCTAACTGATGAATTAAGTGCGGCAAAAGAGCTGCGTCTGAATCAATTTGGTAAGGCAGTTTTAGTTTGGTACAATAAAAGCGTTAAGTTCGAACTTTTGTTGAACTTAACTTAGGTTCGACACACGGTACGCCGTCTGAATCAGATGTCGCTCCAAAGTCGAACTTATTCAGTTAGGTTCGGCACATGAAAAGTACGGCGTCTGAACCAGGCCTTAGTTCTTCTCATAAAAATATCAACGTTTGGCCTTGCCCTCAGTCGTATTACCACTGTTTAAAAAACAATACGAGGAAAATTCAATATTAAGGCCCTTCTTCAAGTACAGACAATTTTCTGTGACATTTTTGCTGCCTACATTTTTTGATGTGGCTATTTTATGGTAAATTATTTGCGGTTTCCCAATCCCATAGGCCATGCTTGGGATTCCTTCTAGGTTAGCTTTAAGGCTATTAAAGTATTTACTAGGCAGAGCGTGTTGTTCATTGGTACTCCTAAACATATTTTCCAACATTACTTTAATTTCAGTTTACAAAAGCTGCGCCGAACATTACAAAGGAGGTCAACGAATAAGTGGTGTTTACCCCGTCGACCCCGATAATGCCGGTGCCTTTGATGTGTATTGTGACCAAACAACAGCAGGTGGGGGTTGGACAGTGTTTCAGAAAAGACTTGACGGCTCAGTTGACTTCGATCGCGTTTGGAAAGACTACAAACAAGGCTTCGGGAGTCTAAGGGGCGAATTTTGGCTTGGACTGGATAAGGTTCACCGTCTGACGAAAGAACGAAGTAAGCTTCGGGTGGAACTCGAAGATTTTAACGGACAAACAGCTTACGCTGAGTACGACTTGTTTGGCGTTGCTGACGAAGGAAACAAATACAGACTAACCCTTGGAACGTATGCAGGTTAGTGCTTTGAGGGGAATAGACTGGATGGGGGCACCTCCATGAAGCAAATGTTGATTAAGTCAGTACATTGACGGGAAGCAAAAGTTTACCTTACTTACAATGACATGCATAAGAGATTGTGACGAGGTCAATTTATTGAACGTTCAGAAGACGCAAAGTCATCGTAAGAGCCGTTAATCCTCTTCTCATACGGATATCTTCATGGCACGTTTCTCTCTTCAGCAAAATATGCAGACATTTGACACCTTGCAATGCGGGAAATCCAGGTTTGCGCCCCCCCGTTACTCGTTACTATCTGGAGTCTAACCCCTTAGTTGTACCCTTGTATATACCATCCTTTAGCGAAAAAGGTACTTCTGATGACAAATGGTACCCCTTTCACATACCTTATAACTGGGGTATATCGTGAAAAGTAGTCGTCGGCCGCTCGCTCACCCAAATAGGAGAGCTTGCTTGTAGGCTAGGCGTATGTGGCCTCTCAGTATAGGCCATCATAGGGAGTACCCGCCGGGGTTTCTCGATAGTTCTGAGGTTCAACTTCCCGGCCATTTTTGTGAATTGCCAGTTTCTTGCCTTCTGCCATTTGCTGTTTTTGACAGAACTATGTTACGCCGGTTTTGTTCAGATAGTATCTTCAAGAGCTACACTTTAAATTCGAGGTTACAGTAAAGTTGATGTACCATGCATGATGTGATGTGATCGATTATTTGTGAATGGAGATCAGCTAAGTGCACATCCACTATAAACAGGGGTTTACATTTTACATTTGTATTAAAATTTTTGTTTGTTTCTATATTCCTCACTTCATTAATTTGCTGTGATTAATTCATTTTTCTAATCACAGTATTTTCTCCTTAAAACTTAGGACTTACTTTAACGTGGACCAGAGAGATAATGGGGTTGAGGCCTTGTTTCCATTTTCAATTTTCCTGTTAACCCTCCTGTTCGTTGCCCGTTCCCCGTTTTAATTACGTCCTTGAAAACTGCATGCACCAATTTTTAACTTTTACTTAAAATTATCTTTAATTTTCCCAAAACAAGAAAGTTTTTTAGTGACACCATTCTTTTTTGAAAATAAGATGTCGTTTTAATTCTTTATTTATCTTTGTAGGAACTGCCGGCGATTCATTTTCGTATCATAATGGTATGGCGTTCTCCACCAAAGATCAAGACAATGATCTAGTAAATAGTAAAGGCTATTGTTCCCGGCGTTATCAGGGAGGCTGGTGGTTCAAAAGTTGTCACCATGCCTTTCTAAATGGCTTCTATTATACAGGCTCACACTCCAACTCTTTTGGAGGTGTGATGTGGAAACATTGGAAGGGTCCCAGGTACTCCGCTAAACGTGCTGAGATGAAAATCAAACCTGTTAACGTTTAAGAAACAGTTGTGAAGTTTATTCTTATTAAACTTTGAATGTGATATCGGTTTAATATGTCATTGCGATGCAAAAAGAAACACATTTTGGATTAAAGGAAAGGTTACATTTTCTCCATTTTGTCAACCACAGTGTACCTTCAAAACTATTTTTTTCTTCTACAACTGTAAACGTTCCTGTTTGTCTGTTTGTGTCGACTAGAGAAAACCTAGTAATGCTATGAATTAAAAAAAAAAGCAAAATGAAATAAAATGCGAAACAACTTTAAACTATGTAGGCTCAATCTCCACTTGGCCATATTTATCCATAACCTTGGAAGGCAAAATCGAAAAGTAATATTTTAGTCTGATTTTAGTGAACTTACAGTTCATTTCTAATAAACATGTACATTTGTCACATTTTATCTCTTTCACGGGAACATATATGTTGTAGTTAATTTTTTATCTCAAGTAATTTTTGTTTTTCTTTTGTTTTTGGGTATGATAATGTATGCTAACGAAGTTGAAACAAAGGAAAAAAAAAATTCCTGAGATAAAAAATTAACTACTATATGAACTTATAATTAGCCTGATCCCGGCATTAGCGGCTTCATAGCTTAGTTGGTTTATAGAGCATGTACCGGTATCGCGAGGTCACGGGTTCAAATCCTGTTGAAGTCCTGAATTTCTTTTCCAGGCTTCTCTTACGCAATTGCATAAATTGTGTTCACAACTGCGAGAATCATTCTTCACTTGATAAAGATTACACCGTCCGTGTACACCTTATTTTTTCAATTTAACTACCGGCACTGCGTGACATGTTACGTCAATTCCATAGTCTATACTCTCGTAGCTATAGACCATAGCTCTCGACCAATCAGTGCGCGAGGATTCGCTCAGATTGTAAAATTATAATTGGAAGCCTGCGCAAGAAAGGATACACACAAGGCAAAATGGACCTTCTTTTTAAAGCGATTGTGCTCCCTAACATTGTGTACGGCCTTTCAGTTTACGCTGCTAGCGTTTCAGACCTTAGCTTCCCGCTTAGCAAAGCTTTTAAATAATGTCACAATTAGAGTCGCTATACATCAGTGAATTATAAGTTACCTCTTTTACAAACTTAAACATTGTCACCGTCCGTTACATAATTTACATCTTAGGTTTAAAGATTCATCTCTTAATTAAGAAATATAACCGGAATGAGACTTTTAAAAATATTAATTGTGAACGTTCAGTAAACACAGATTTATTTTTAACTATTGTTGGTTTTCATTTGACGTCACTAAAATTCAAACTACAAAACCATCTATCCTACTGAGATTTTTTACTTTCATGGTGTATTAGATCAAGAGCAGCTGAAAACTAATTTTCAAACAAATTTTCGCTTCAAAAGCTTTCTTGGTTTTGTAATAGAGTACGCTGAATTTCTAAGAGGGTCGTACAGAGGGGGTTTCTCGCACGGTTCACGAACAGAAAAAACAGCGAATCACGGATCACGGCTATCAAAATTTTATTTCCCCGAATCACGAAAATAAACAAGTAAGGTACTCGTTTTTAAAATAACCTTCTCTTACGGTAGAAAGAGTGTTTGAAGAAAGCAAAATCGTTAAAGGCTAAGTAAAGGCTGCTTATCGGAAATCACATACCTAAATCACTCTCGATGGACGACTCTTACCATTCGTCCACTTCTCGTTGTAACTGCCCGAAGAAACAACAAATCGTCTAAAGAATCTACCTCGTAATTGTCAGCAATAGGATATTCAGCGTCTGAGTCAGTGACGTACTCTTCCTCCTCTTCTACCTCGGCTTCCTCTACTACTTGAACATCTTCAATGGCCTCGTGCGATGTAGAGGGCGTAACAGTCGTAACGGTCGTAGCAGAAGTAACAGTCTCCTCTTCGACACTGTTAGGGCTGAATCCCAGGGGCGCCACTCACAGATTTTAATGACGGGGGGCTCCGAAGGATTTTTTTGGGTCTGACATTTTGGCCAAAAGGGATTTTTTGGGTCTATGAAAGACGCCGGGATTTTTTTGGGTCGCGAAAACAACACAAGGATTTTTTTGGGTATTGTATTTTTAATCAGCTCAAATAAACAATAACATAAGCGCAATTTTGAAGTTGAAGTTGGCATGTTTTAGCTTTCCAGAAGATAAATAATAAAATTTGCTGATGCACAAACACTGAGGGATTTTTTTGGGAAGACAAATTCTGAAGTTGGGATTTTTTTGGGTATTATATATATGAACCTCTGTCGGACCCCCCCGTCATTAAAATATGTGAGTGGGGCCCCTGGGGGCTGAATGAGACTTTATCTTTAGGATAGTCTGATGTTCTGTACATGTTTAACGGCAATGTTCCGGCCTTGAACATGGTGGTCTCTTGTCTCACACTTCTCTGTCGTGCAGCCCTCCCATTATTTGTCGCCCACTCAAGCATGAGGTCTTTTTCCTGCCTATTTAACTCCATTCTTGCCATAAGATGCTCCAGCTTCGGAATGGCATTTAGTGGAGTGCTCTGGCGTAACACGGGATAATATGATTTATCATGTGTGAAGTAGTAGGCACCCCAGGGTACTACACGTTTAATGCTTTCGTATACGGTATTTGCCAGATTCCGTGCGTACTGCAAAAGGGTAGGAGACTGGTCCTTACTGCCATCTTTTCCCTTTTCGAGACGACAAAATTTAAGTTCAACACAGGAGCCGAGGCAACGTTTCAGCCTCTGCCTTTAATCCGGCAAATTCCGCGAACTTTTTAGTAAACACTGCCAAAAATGAATGTTCATCTGTAATTGGAAAGCGAACTCGTTCCTTTCCAAGAAAATTAAGCGAGCCGGCAGACTTTGGGTCAACGTAAAATACAATACATTCGACCCTCATCGTACTATACGTACTCGTCCCCTCCATGTCTCGGATGTTTCGATGTTCTGGATCACGGTCCTTTGACCTCCAGTGACATAGGAGACCATACGCATAGGAATAGACATCTGATCCATGATAGGCATGTAAAGCACGTAAATTTGCACAATGGATTAAAATTACAGCGAAGTCTGTTACTTGTCACATTTGATGTTTTCAGTCTTAAAATAAGTCTTCCGGAGCACTCGCATCTCAAAATCACGCCAAATAGAGTGGTGAAATCACGAATATCGGTTAATAATTCAAGTTCTTCACTGGTCACGCAAAACCTTCAGATCACGGATCACGAAGAATAATTTATTAAATTCACGTTTGACGGAAAATAAAATCAGCCAATCACGCATCACGGGAATACCCCTGTACGACCTCTTCTAAGCTTTTGCGTGACGCAGCATTTACATGACAGTCGAGAGAGCTATCATTTGGGTTAAAAAAGTTGCTTCTTTCGAGGAATTTTGCTATCTAAACCGTTCAAGTATTAGAAAAAGTATTACTTCAATGTTTATGAGTTCCTCTAGGAGTAAATTCACGCTTTTGTAGCAAAACTTGGTAATAGATATGTTTCTGTTGGTTTCCGTCCGCCATGTCGGAGGTCAACCGGATGGGCTCCAACATGCCGACTCCATACAAAGCTCTATAAATTTGGGTAAAACATTTCCTCGGATATCTCGTATACGAATCATTCCTTCGACCCAAATCTTGGCGAGGGTCTCTGTATATTTACCTTCTTTCATTTCCCAGATTCTGGACTTTACCTATCGCATGGTTTTGATTTTTATTTTGATCTATTTTGAATGGTGTGACACTGAAAACCAGCAATAGACAAGCTGTATAAATACTAGATTTTAAAAATTTTGGAAGGCTTAGTTCACTTGTACGTATACAACTATATTTTTGCGCTTTTTTCTTGTCACTTTTTATTGTAACATCTGATATGTATTTTTATCCGACGAATTCTGATTTTCTCAGTCTCTGACTTGATTGCTCGAACAGGACGCCAACAACCCACACTTGTGTTCCACAAGAGCAAGGGATGTTCACCGAGTCTGCAACCGGCTTAACTGTTTGCGTGTTTCAGGCGAGCGGAAGCAACGGCGTTGAGCGCAAGAAAAAGAAAAAAAGGACCGCTTTGCAGGCTAAAGGGAGGCAGATCTCGGCTCTGCGGCATCTTATATAACATTACTTCGGTTCACATTAACCAGGGCTGGGTGCGAAACGGATGGGCGTTGCCAGCCAGGAACTAACATTTACTGAAGTTCAGTCTCACAGAAAATAGATTTTGTAGACACATACGACTTTCACTCAGCAGAGAATTATTCACCCATCTCTACAAGCGCAATGAATTGGGCTTAAGGTCTCGGTAAATGAAAATTTTAGTACATTGCTCGATTTTGTTTTTTTTGGATTTTTGGCATGAGTGGGTCCTAAATTTTAATTTGGCAGAAAAAGAAAATCAGAAAGTGCTTTTTAACCCTTCTAAAATGAGCCTTTTCTGAGCTAACCAGCCAAGCGTGGACTTCGCGCTAAATCTTTAGAGCTGATTTTCTCTCACTCTATTTTAGACGCAAAAATCAAAATTCTCTGACCTCCAGTCGGGACAGGTTTTAAGCTATCGCTTTGAAACTTTCAGATATGATGGATAATGATATAGACTCAAAAAAGGTGTGAGGAATTTTCCGATTTCCCTTTGTAACTCATTTTATGTCAGTTTCTTTGCGTAAATCGCGCTCGAGATTCGACTTTTTAGTTTGAAATGCAATAATTCCGCTAACACGAGACATCTGCAAATTTCCTCACACCCTTTTTTAGGTCTTTTATCTGTCAATCAGATGCAATAAAAAGGAAGTGAATATTTAACAACGCGAAAGGGCTGGAGCTTCAGCAGTAAACTCGATACCTCTGAGTTCGAGAACAAAAAACTTAAGCACCTTTTGAAATTCGATGAAATAAAATCTTTTATAAGGTAATTTAGTCTTTTAGCTTTAATTTGATATGTAACTTGCCTTTGTAGCGAAAATACTCGCGCGACTATAATTTTTTTCTGTGGGCACCTCGTTTTCCTTTACCGAGACCTTAAGCTTAAATCGTTGCCCTGGATAGAGACT